ACTAGTTGTTTCAGTGGCTGTTGGTTTTCACTCTGATCTGAGTTATTTAAAAGAGATCTTCTGATTAGGTCAGATTGATAGCATTTACAAAAAGGAAGCACTGTTATGAAAGAATTTCTGATTTCTGATTACTTGTTAAACAGCAAGATTACTTTCTATAGCTGAATTTCTGTTCAAAGAGTTTTTCCAAGTGCAAAAACAAACAAAAAAGCAGGGGATAGAACCACCTTGCATCCATTTATATTTGGAAGTGAGGTACAATGACTTCAAGGATATTGACTTCAAAGTAAGTGGGTAAAGGATTGCAGATGTGTAGTTCTGTCCTTGGAGTGCAGTCCAATGTGTGTTTTTGAAGTATGTTCCATCTTATTCAATGAGACTGACTCATAAACAAGCCTGAATACATCCTGTGCCTTAATGATTTCTTTCATAGACAGGAAAAGTATATGAGCATTGATGATTTCACTTTGATTGCATGTATCATTTTGGGGGGCATAAAGTCACACTGTGTCCCATTAGTTGAGCAGTTACTGATCTTACAGCACCAGAGCAAAAAACACAATCTGAAAGAAGCGTTTCTGGAACTTCCAAAAGTTTGAAGATTTGCTTATCTCTAACCAGGAAAGATTGCTGGTACAACTAGATTATAGAATAAAGTATGGATTGTAGAGTGTAGTTTTCAGACAGTATTTCAGAGACATCAGTCATTTCCCACTATTATCAAAATCTATTTCTGTAAAAAGTTATACAGACAAGTGGAATAAACTATCATTAATTGATCAATAGTTTTGCCTCCAAAAGCTCTACTGGGCATATACAGGTGATTATGGGGTATTAGTAATAGTCATGTGCAGACTTGGTGATCAAATTCAGGCATTTCCTTGCAGGGAGTGATGGCAGCGGAGTCTGTACAGAGGGCTCTGAGTGAACAATGTCTCCTGTCATTCTCTGCATCAGAAAATTCAGTTTCATCATGTTTGCAAAGCTTTCTCATAGATGTTACAGGCAATACAAAAGATTGTAGTTCACGGGGGGTTCTGTATACTGGTCAGAGATGCAATTTCAGGATTGTGTTTAGTCTTACTGTTAGGTTTTGTCTGCAGAATGAGCTGTGTCCCTTTTTATTCCAGGGAATCTTCACTTGGAAGAGCAACTTTAAAAAAAGTCAAAATACGATTCTGTATATAACCTATATACATCCATTATATTGAGAAATGTTTGTTGACTTCACTCTTTGAATTTTCCCCCTGTATTAGTGCTTATTTAATGTAGCCAAAATATTTTTATGCAGAATGTGTTAGTTACTTCATGACATAAATAATGTTGGCGGGATACTAATGATAATCCAATGTTGATTATTACTTCATGAAATATTTAGATCGCCATTGATAAAACCCATCAATTTGAGACCGAGATCTCCTAAAACTGTGTTTTCTGTACACATGCATTCCAAAGAAACAGTGCTCCGAGTTGCTTTCATAATACATCTTTTCAAACTGCTCATTCACAAAGGCTTACATAATAAAAGCAAACAAGAAGGCTAACTTGCCAGGGGGAACTAGTGACTTGGAAGCAGAATTTAACACTGAAGGAATGTATACCTCCCCCCCCTCCTCCACAGTTGCTATATGTAGTGCTTATGATTTCCCCTTTCTAAAAAGATTCAATAATTGTATAAATCTCTTTAGCATTCATTTATTCCCTTTATATTATTTGTTAAACTTTTATGGGTATATGCTCAGGATCTCTTACTATGAATTATTTATTGCCTCACAGGCTTTTAAGTGGCTGATAGTACTCGTACAAACCTGTCAGTTTAAAAAGGGTATATGAATGAATTTCCCTACCCATTCCCTGAATTCTTAAAATGGAAAAGGAAGCTATAGCCTTCATTAGGGATTTTCATGACAAAATCCCATGTAGTGTTTGTTTCTTCCTCATAGTAAAGAAACTTTCTAATCCTGTGTGTGTGTAAGAAGATATTAGTATCATGGGTGAGTTCCTGGTGAAAATTTCCTTTCTCTTGCAAATCTTAAAGTCAAAGGAACCTTCCTTCAGGGATAACCATGGCACTCTGCTGTATTAGATAAGACAGCAAATGGCATCTCCTGCTCACCCAATTCAGTGTATAATTCCTAGTACTGGTCAAGTTGTGTTGGCATCTGAGGCAGAAAATTCCACAAACACCTTCATAATATCATGTCAGTAATTGACTGACAATTTTCCAACCTGAAAACATGGATATTCAGACAGGTCTTGAGTAGGCTGAATGGGCCCATATGAAGCTGACACTTGGCACCTTGTGAATTGACAACAGTTAGTTTTATATCCTGTTGTTTTAAAATTGCATTATTTTGATTTTATGCAGCATGTGTTGATGGGGGTTGTTGTTATAATTTTATGTGTCTTGTTTTATACTTTGGTACCGTTTTTACCTGTTGTATGTTATATGTGCACCCTGGGGTGCCCTGTAAGCTGCCCTGAGTCCCTTTGGGGAAATGGTAGCAGGATATAAAGATTATTATTATTAGATTTGGAAGAAGATGGTATATAAATTGAATGAATGAAGGAGTCTTGTGGCACCCCAGATAGCTCTATGTAATGCAGAAATGGGTGAAATTACTCCCACCAAGTTTGTTTTGAAGTCCTTGGCTCTTTAAACCATGGGTATTCAAACTTTTAGAGCAGGGATCCAGTTCACGGTCCCTCAGACTGTTGGGGGACCAGACTATAGTTTGAACAAATGAACAAATTCCTATGTACAGCGCACATATCTTATTTGTAGTGAAAAAACAACAACACCCCAAACCAATGAAAGAACAATAACATATTTAAAATGAAGAACACTTTTCACCAACATAAACTTATTAGTATTTCATGGGAAGTGTGGGTTTGTTTTTGTCTGATGAGATAGTCAAGTTAATTAGGATTGTTGTGTGTGCCTTCAAGTTGTTTCAGACTTAAGGTGATCCTAAATCTAAAGTTTAGGGCAGGGGCCAGGTAAATGACCTTGGAGGGCTGCATTTGGTCCACAGGCCTTAGTTTTGAGACCCCTGCTCTAAAGTATCCATAGACTCAAAGAAAAAAAATTAATCATAATCATAATTTTTACACATATATCCTTGTGACTTGAGGCAATTTACAACGTTGCTAAAGACACATAATCATCTAAAAATTCTATAAAATACGCATATTAAAACATATTTCTATGAAACATATATTAAAATACACAGAACAAAGATTAAACACTAGATGCAAGTTCAAAATTTGTGATTAAAACTGTCTAAAAAGGCCTACCAGAAAAGATAGGTTTTCAATGTGCTTTAAATTCCAACAGCTTATTTAGCTGTCAGAGCACTTCCAGCAGGTTGTTCCACAGTCATGGGGACAGCTGATGAAAATGTCCTCTGGGTGACAGTCAATTTCTGGCAGGCTGGAGTAGATGCTCCTCAGAGGACCTAAGTGTTTGTGGCAGATTATACAAAAGAAGGTAACCTGTGCCCAAACCATGTAGGACTTTAAAGGTCAAAACCAACCCTTTGAACTTTGCCCGAAAACTAATAGGCAGCCAGTGGAGTTGACTTGGAAGAAACCACAAGAGTCATCCAGTTTGACCTCCTGCCATACAGGATCACACAATCAAAGTACTCTTGACAGATGGCCATCCAGCTTCTACCTAAAACCTCAAGAGAAGGAGACTCCACCACACTATCTAGAACAGTGGTTCTTAACCTGAGGGTCCCCAGATGTTTCGGCCTTCAACTCCCAGAAATCCTAACAGTTGATAAATTGGCTGGGATTTCTGGGAGTTGTAGGCCAAAACACATGGGGACCCATAGGTTGAGAACCACTGATCTAGAGAATAATGAATTGCTTCTCCTAGAAGTCTCCAAGACCAACATTTTACAGGACTTCAGCATTGTTTAATATCAAATAATGTCAGTTTTTGAAAACCAGATATGGACTTCTACAAGTTCTGGTTTTGAATTGTTGGCTTTTGATATTCTGTGGTCTCTGTGGTCTTCTGAGGCTGTTCGTTGCAGAAAATTTCCTTTGGACCTTTTCTGGCTGCCTGCCCCATTGCATAATAGTGGAGCTGGACCTACCAGGGTGATCTTTTCTTTGGCACACTCTATTATCTCTACAATGGTACATGGATCAGTGGAGCAACATTCCTCTTTCAATGTCTAGAGATTCATGTTTCTTGTATTTAAACAGGTGAAAATTGGCACAGTAAATATATTCATCACTAGTAGTCACGATACCACTATGTTACCTCAAGGACGGGGGCAAATGCTCATGTCCTGCCCCATGTATATTTCACTTTGTATGAAATTAGGATTGTGTGCATTATACCATCAGAAAGCAAAGGTGCCCCTATCGCAGCCACCCATGCCTACAGTTTTGCATTTTGGAGTATTTTTATTTTCAAATATCCAGATAATGGTCAACCTGTTTTTGCTTTCAAGGTATATATAGTATTGTTCTTTATGGTGTTTAAACTAGATCATATCCCTTCTTATTAGCACACTATAAATATGTTCAGTGTTTTGCATTAGTGGAAGAAAATCATATTGTATTATTTATTTATTATTAGAAGTTAAAAGTGCCTGAGCTTTTTCAAAATTAAACAACGTATTTTTAAAAATCTGTAGTTTCAAGTTTCTACAAGAGCTATAAACTCTTGAATTGACAAATCGGATGTATGAAATTTAGTTCCTGATATTCTGAAAAATTGTACAATATTTTTCTTTGGACATTTTTCTTTGTTTTGTTGAACAAAATAAATCATTTGTATGCTATTTCTAGTTTACTGAATAACAAATTCAATTCTAATATTACATTTTAAAGGTCTCCAGAATTGCTAGATTGCCTTTATATAAGATTAAAGTTAGAAGATTAAAGTTAGAAGGATTATATGGTAGTTACTTTGTAAATAAGTACTGATCCAGAAATTAGCAGTGCAAACTATCTGTAATCCCTCTCTCTTTTTCATGCAGTTGAAAGATGTATGAGTGTAATGCAATCTGGGACTCAAATGGTTAAACTGAAGAATGGAGCCAAAGGTCTGGTTCGTCTTTTTTACCTTGATGAGCACAGGACTTGTATCAGATGGAGGCCATCTAGGAAGAGTGAAAAGGCAAAAAGTAAGTTTATTATAAGATAGAGTTGAATAACTTTGTCACTTTTGGGTTGCTGTGAGTTTTCCGGGCTGTATGGCCATGTTCCAGAAGCATTCTCTCAATGTTTCACCCACATCTATGGCAGGCATCCTCAGAGCTTGTGAAGTCTGTTGGAAACTAAGCAAGTGAAGTTTATATATATATATCTGTCGAATGTCCAAGGGCGGAGAAATAACTCTTGTGAATGTTGCAGTTGGCTACTTTTATTCATATTTAATGTCCTTTTCATGGTTTCTTCCTTTCTGTTGAAATTGTCCACATGCTTGAGGATTTCAATGGCTTCTCTGTGTAGCCTGACATGGTAGTTGTTAGAGTGGTCCTGCATTTCTGTGTTCTCAAATAATATACTGTGTCCAGGTTGGTTCATCTGGTGCTCTGCTATGCCTAACTTCTCTGGCTGGATTAGTCTGCAGTGCTTTTCATGTTCCTTGATTCGTGTTTGGGAAATGCTGCATTTGGTGGTCCCTATGTAGACTTGTCCACAGCTGCATGGTATACGGTAGACTCCTGCAGAGGTGAGAGGATCCCTCTTGTCCTTTGCTGAATGTCGCATTTTTGGGATTTTCTTAGTGGGTCTGTAGATAGTTTGTAGGTTGTGTTTCTTCATCAGCTTCCCTATGTGGTCAGTGTTTCCCTTAATGCATGGTAAGAACACTTTGTTGTCATTTCTGCCCTCTAAACCCCCACAATGGGCTACATTGAGAAGCCCATCAAGATTGAAATGAACACTACATTGTTTCTGGTTTCATTTTCGGCCAATTTTGGATCTTTCTTTTTCTTTCAAACAAGTGTTTTCCATTGGTTTTGCAGTCATTTTGATACTTTTGGGCAGTTTTGTGTTAAAAATGGAATTAAATTGGCAGTTATATTCCTGGAAATGCACAGCCAATTCCATATGCTAGCACTAGGCTCAGGCATCAGCTCATGAAATACTAGTGTGAATAGTACTGCATAGTCTTACATAAAAACCAAACTTCCGCATAATTTTAGAAATAATTTTGGAGGAATAAATACATGAACACTTATGTATTTTTTTCATTTTTAATGTTTTAAATGAGTTTTCACATCTTTAGAAGGAAACTAGAAGCATTAAACCCAAAGCAAAAAGGCATGAGGGGGAAAAAGGCAGGCACCACTCCAGGTAGGGCCTGCAGTGCAATCAAGAGAAAAGAAAGGGCTTTTTAAAAGAAGCCCAGGGTAGGATAGCTCCAGGTCATTGCTCTTCCTTCTTTAGAAAGTGGGAAGCCTCCTTAAAACAACCTTGGAAAGCTGTGTGCAGGGAGAGAGCACAACTGCAGTGCCTATACCACCTGTCTCCTCTAGAGTAGAAACAGCTTTAGGGAAGCATTAAACCCAGGTCTCCTCTACAGACCAAAGGGAAAGAGTGATACCTTAACTCTAAAGCTTTTTAATCCAGGTTGTAATGAAAGATATAAAGACAAATGATGCAATTGCCTAAAATGACAGGAAGCGGAGCCCCCCCCCCCCCATTGCCGCCAATGAGCCGGATCTAGCCATATTTTTCGGCTGTGGTCCGAAAATGCCATCTGGCTGTCTGCCTGTTTTTGGGAAACTCATGAAAATGTATTCTGCCAGCAGAAATGGATTGAGGTTGAGCTGAAATGTACAAGCCTATTTGGTATGATGTTGGCAAGATTGGGAAATGTTCCACATAGCTCTCCAAAAGCGTATACAACAGCTTCTCGTTCCTTTGGGGTCTCTTTGATGTGTAATAAATTAATAACATGGGGACATAAAGCATTCAACCTCTTTTATTTTTCTTCTCCTCCCACCTGTTTCCTTTTCAGTCATAATTGATTCCATCTACAAAGTCACTGAAGGCCGACAATCAGAAATATTCCATCGGCATGCTGAAGGTAACTTTGATCCCAGTTGCTGCTTTACCATTTACCATGGAAACCACATGGAGTCACTGGATTTGATAACGTCTAATCCAGAGGAAGCTCGCACTTGGATCACTGGGCTGAAATACCTGATGGCTGGGATAAGTGATGAAGACTCTCTTGTGAAAAGGCAACGAACACATGATCAATATCCTTCAAGTGATTAGGTTCTCACTCTCATCAGGTCTGCCCCAGGCTTCTCCTTTTATTGAATTTTAGAAAAGCAGATAGTTGTGATACAGAATCTAAAAAGATCAGAACAGTTGAGATCAGGATTCTTGGCTTGGCTACAAATATTATTTGCAGAGACTGGGGAAAGATCAAAAATTTAAATATGAAAATGTTATGTAGCAAGGCATTACTGTGTGTAACAATTGACGTCATCAGTTTTTTCAGATTTTTAATGAAATGTTGCTTGTTCATTTGTTTCATCATTGTCATGTTGTAAATCTTTTTATTGCAAACCACTTTGGGATTTTTAAAAAATGAAAAAAAAAGATATTTAAAGAGCACCTTAAATAACCTTAAATCAAGAGAAGGGATGGGTGAGGTCCGGAGAAAAGCTGGAAATAAGTTTAGTAGGGGAAAGCCCCACCATGTAAAGAATTACTCATTTTCAGATTAGTTTAATACTTCAGGAGCAAGCATGTTCTTTTGCCAATGAGCTTAAAAGGTCATGACCTCAATGAGTTATCCCCCCATTGCCAGACTGAAATAAGAAAGCAAGATTGTTGTCTCGCACCTAACCATTCCTATTTCCAAACTTCATTTCAGACCATCAAAAGACAAAGAAACATTTGCCAACCTTTTGTGGCAAATTACAAGCTCCATAAACTCCTTTTGCACTTTCTATATTTATCTCTGTTTTTTTTATTGAGAAGCTGCACATTGCTGTCGCACATTTGGTTGTGCTGAAATGTCTCTTCAAACCTTGTGTGCCTTATTAGTTCTGGCAGATGGGAAGGCTGTGGTGTGAACTGACCCTGTAACAGCTCCAGCTGGAGTAAGAACATAAGGGAAACCACCAGGGAATGAGGATTCCTGCATAACAGGAATGCATCTGCCTCAGGAAAAAAGAAGAGATGCATGGAGTCAGGGCTGGGGGACCACCAGGGACAAGGTACAACATGATGGAATAGTTGACCAAGAATAGAATGAGAAGGTATTGTAGAGCTCAATACACTTTAGATACATCAGTTAGTTAAATCATTGACTTGTGGTCATATACCATTGAATTGCACCATTGCACAACATTTATATTCTGGAAAGAGGAGCAGAGATACAGCTATGTCTTCAGGATTATTGTATAAGCAGTGCCACCATAGCATCATGGGTTCCATTGTTGAAATAGGCCTCCCATTTTATATTGGGATATCTCATGAAATGATTCCTTCTAGTAAATTTAGATAATATGCATAGAATACTCTGATATTATCTAAGTTTACTAGAAGGACTCCATATTCTTTCAGAAGTTTAGTTGCATCATCACTAAGTTACAAATCATTTTGGCTGCAGTGATTATGTTGGGGATGGGACAGAATTGGGAGTGTGACATGGTGTGAATTGGAGAGGTCTTTTATACCTTTCCAATATGGTCCTGATTGGCATTGCTCTCTCTGCCAACCAGTGTTTACTGCTCATAGTTGAACTGTTCTGCTTATTGTTGGAGCATCTTCTCACTACAAACAGCAGCTATTGGTATGTGTGTGTGAGAGAGGATCAGGAGTGAAAATACTGGTTTTCCTTTCCTTTAAGGCCCCTTTCCCAGTCCCATACCATGGTCCCATTCCAGCTTCTCCCAACCTTTGTTGATTACTTGTCAGAGTCAATAGAGCTACACAAGGGAAGTGTGACGCTATATGAGAAATGTCATTTCTAATTTGTCCCTATCCTTGTAACTATAGACATACCCTATGCACATTTGAAGGGTCCCAGGTTGGGGAAGGCTGATCACAATTTGTAAACTGTCACTTGTAGGGAAATGATCATGTGTGAACTGTCCCTCCATGTCCTGTTTGATTGTTAACATTGTCCTGATTTGTATATGACACGGCTGCTTACTTTTTGCATTTCTTCCTCAATACTTCAAAAGCAAGGCAGAGAACATTTTAGTATAAATAGTGCATTATTTCCTTAATTTATCTGCACTTGGGTGAAGCAGACTTTTGAGGAAGCAGACAAGAATGGGGATGGATTGCTAAATATTGAAGAAATCCACCAGTTGATGCACAAACTGAATGTCAATTTGCCCCGCAGAAAAGTGAGACAAATGTTTCAGGTGAGCATCTGTTTTCTCCTTCTGTTTGTGGGCTGACCATTAGCCCTTCAGAAATGAAGTCTGAATTTTATCAATGAAGATTAATGGGCAGACTGTTCAGTGTGATAAATTGTTCATAGGAGACAAGGGATTGAGGATAGGCCAAGCATGTCATCTTATGTCAGCATCAGGCTGTGGCTGGATTTGCAACATATGGCACTAGACCTCCCATGAGGAATTATACAGCATTTAATTAATTGCAGAATGGACACCGTTCTTAATATGTTTTGTGACAAGGCCAATGATTAATCTGTTAGATCCGCTTCCCTTTGAAAGCTTAGTTGTGTTTAGCCGCAATTCTGGCTTGTATGTTTTACTGAAGGAGCTTTTGGTGAGTTTTTGCAGCTAGGAGAAGACAACTTGCTGATTCTAAATCCAGTTTTAATGGAATGCACTAACATTCTACAACCTGTTCATTGTGAAGAAAGAGAAATGACTTTTACAAGTGCAATAACCATGTTTATGGTTGGCTATGCAAGTGTGCAGGCAGTTGGGTTTTTTAAACCAGCGTAGGTAGTATTTAGGGAAAATGGCTCCCTTTAGATATTTTTGGCCATCACCTCATAAAGCCAAGCTAGCCAATTGGAGATTTCACATTCAGAGAGGGTTAAATAGTCTACAGTCCATACAAAGATTTCTACCAGTCTTCAAGTCCTGAATGAAGGGGCCCTCTTGGATGTCAAGATTGTGTCAAAGCAAAGCATTCTCCATCCTGGGAAGAAATGCACTCTCTCTTTGTTTTGATGTTTAGAGGCAGCACAAATAAATTCTTAGTCTGTGAGATGTATGTCTTTCCCCAGGATAGGAACACTTTGGCAGCTGCCAAATTAAGCTAGCACTGCCTGCAGGCTTCTTGGTTTCTCTGCAGAGCCTTTTAGTATCACAGATGTGGGCAGTTATTTGCATGCATAGACATGTATGGCAGTTCTTTCTCAGACAGCAACCTTATAGTCACAGGTAATGTTTTCTACTAGGAATACCAGTTTTCCTACACTTGCTTTCTGACAAAAGTTGGAGGCTTTTGTCAGAAAAATTACAAAATTCTCTTGATGTAGACTATCCATTGCATTTCTCTGGGCTTATTTAACTTCTCTCTTTTAAAATGTATTTTGCTAGTCTTCTGCTCACTTAGATTACTAGAAGTTAGTTGAGTTACTTTTTGAATACGCCCAGTCATCATAATCAGTGGTCAGGAGACCCCGGTGGCACAGTGGGTTAAACCCCTGTGCCGGCTGGACTGAAGACCGACAGGCTGCAGGTTCGAATCCGGGGAGAGGCGGATGAGCTCTTTTTATCAGCTCCAGCTCCTCATGCGGGGACATGAGAGAAGCCTCCCACAAGGATGATAAAAACATCAGATCATCCAGGCGTCCCCTGAGCAATGTCCTTGCAGATGGCCAATTCTCTCACACCAGAAGCAACTTGCTCCTGACACGACAAAAAATAAAAATAAATCAGTGGTCCAAAAATAACTTTCTCAAGCTCTATAATAAACTCTATAACCCTCCCCAAGCTTGATTATACATATGCTAGGTAGATTCTTTATTGTATTTAAATGCAGTACTGTATTTGGGATAGAAGATTCCCAACATAAATATTGCATTAGCAGAACTGCATAGCTTGTGGTATTCAATATCCCCCCCCCCCTTCCCCAGCAAATAGAACCATTTGAAAATTCCCTTTCTGTCAATACTTCCAGATTCTTCTTGGATTTCACTAATGTATCTTTTTTAGAGAAGACAAATAATATTGCTGTCTTTTTGACTACTCTGTGTTTACAACAACATGATCTTGTACTACAAAAGTCTGAATCACTTCAGGTTGTTGTCATCATATCTTCATCTAAGTCTAAGCAAAATATAATTCATTATATTTTGCAAAATTCACTGGTATTGAAGAAAAACTGTTTCTGCCCACAAGAAACAAGGCTAGACACTCAACATGCACTTATTTATTTATTTTATTGACTTCATTTATACTCCACCTTTCTCACCACTGCAGGGGACACTCAAGGTGGCTTACAACTCTGGCAAGATTCAATGCCGTTTAAGAGAACCATAAAACATATCTCATCAATTGAACAATTAGAGTCACTGTCTTTCCACCTCTGAGAATAGATAATTCTTGCTGCTGTTGTCATGTATAGCAATAACATTTGCAGTTTCCTTGTACTTCTTGACTGCTATAAATTTGTGTTTATGAGTCGTAGGGGAAAAAGTAGGATGAGTTAGACATGCATGTTATCACATTTATGTAGAATTTAGTTATTTATGATGCAAAATTAATTTTGTTAACTTTTTCTGAAAAGAGTAAAAGAGTCTTCTTCTAGAAGCATAATGTCAAACCCTTCCATTTTGTTCCTTGTGTGCCTTTAGAACCAGCTGCCTAAAACGTGATAAAAAAGTAGACTCCACCGAATCAGTTATTTTTGGAATTTAAGTATACAAAGAGAATGCATTTTGCAAAAACTGCTGTGAAACATTCTGCAAATCCCAAACAAATCCTCTTAAGCAGATGCTCAAAGTTGTTGGCTTTTTAAAAAATCTATAATAATATACAGTAAGCGCTCCATTCTTCCCCAAGAACAGACTCAAACAACAACCAAGTTAGTTTGAATCCCTGTATCCCCATATGTCATGATGCTTCAATCATATCTACCCACTGTGGCTTATTTTACTCTTCTTACTTTGCAGGAGGCTGACACAGATGAGAACCAGGGGACCCTAACTTTTGAAGAGTTTTCTGTGTTTTACAAGATGATGTCATTAAGGCGTGACCTCTACCTGCTACTGTTGAGCTACAGTGATAAAAAAGACCACCTCACTGTGGAGGAGTTTGCTCAGTTCCTGAAGGTAGAACAAAAGGTAAGAATGCAAAGAAAATACAGAGGCTCCCTGACTTATTTTCATGTAATTCACAAAAAAGTTCTATTTTGCAATGAAACCTCAATTCTAGCCAAAGCTGATATGAAGAAGGTGAAGTTAAGCATAAAGGAATACACATTTGTGTAAAAATTTGTTCATGTGCTACATATTTACTAAATAATCACTTAATATTTACAACCATGAAAATTGTTGTTATCTACTGTTAAAAAATAGAACTTTTTTAAAAAAAAATGATTTTTTTTCCTGTGTCAGAAGCGACTTGAGAAACTGCAAGTTGTTTCTGGTTTGAGAAAATTGGTCGTCTGCAAGGATGTTGGCCAGGGGATGCCTGGATGTTTTTGATGTTTTACCATCCTTGTGGGAAGCTTCTCTCATGTCCCCGCATGGGGAGCTGGAGCTGACAGAGGGAGTTCATCCATGCTCTCCCCGGATTTGAACCATGTGCCTTCAGTACTGCAGGCACATGGGTTTAACCCATTGCTCCACCTGGGGTTTAAAAAATGGAGATGATTTTACTTATATCTCACACTTTTTAATTTCTTATTTACAAATACAGGTTTCTTAAAAATGACTTAATATGTTTAATAGAATTTATTTTGTACATGTTGATGCCCATTCATACATTTCAGAAAAGAAATGAAAAAGTGAAGACTTCAATCAGATTTTCTCATAATGGGTAGTAACTATAAAGAGTTTGACATCTGATTTAGCACTTGTGAACTTATTCAACATTCAGGTCTGCATGCTCTCTAATCCCAGTCTGTATTATTTTTATTGTATGCAACCTGGAAAATTTTGTTATTGTATGCACCCTATACTAAACTTTAAACTAGAGAAATATCCTTTTCCTGTTTTTTTTTTAAACTTAATATTAGCCAAGATAATATGCATAATATCAATGTGTATGTGTGTGAGGCAATCTCTAGCAGTGGGATACTAATGTTTGCATGTTCGTCACATCACCACACTTCTTTCCATAACATGGAGGGAAATGAATTTTTAGAGATCTTGTTTTTTGCACACCCAGTAAAACAGACTGTGCGCTTCACAGATATGGCTCTGAGCTATGCTATACATGCCGTTGACACCTGTTATAAAATAATTGGTGTTTTGTTCCACTAGTTCTCTTAGCTTCTGCATGTCATCTGTTGTTCATTACTAGTACATTTGTCAGCTGTCATAGCCCCAGTCTGACCGTCCCCTTCACCATTCTGTGGGCGCTTTTGGAGTGCGCTCATGCAAGGCAGTTATATTGTGTCCATTACTTCACTCTGGATCAGTGGCTTTGAGAAACACCTGCTGTCCCTTCAAAAGTCGGCAAGCAGGCTCCGCATTTTGACCTCCTTTCTGGGGAAAAGAATGGGTTCCACAAGAATGGCTCACTCATAGAGCTTTGAAGTGAAACCCAGTGTGTAACAGAAGATGCATGGGAAACATAAAGAACGTTAATGTTCTCTTTCCAATAATGGGAAGTTGCTGGAGATTCAAGGCTGGCAGATACTGACCAATTACTCCTATGAGGACTCTAAAAACCAGACAGGTGGACCTCTGAACTGGGCAGTGCACAATATTTTTACCTTTCTTTGCCTGAAAGCCTGATGATTTTTACTAGTCACGATTGGCTGGTTTGGAGATACAGGGAATAGTCTTGTTCATTTTGTAGTGTGGCTCTTTTGCATGTGCTCACAAATCTCCTGCCACACAAGCTAAGTCATTCACACATAGTGTCATAGAATCATAGAGTTGGAAGAGACCATCCAGTCTCCAGTCCTACCCCCTGCCAAGAAGCAGGAAAATCACATTCAAAACATCCCCAACAGATGGCTATCCAGCCTCTGTTTAAAAGCCTTCAAAGAAGGAGCTTCCACCAAAGTCTGGGACAGAGAGTTCCAGTGATGAACAGCTCTCACAGTTAGGAAGCTCTTCCTAATGTTCAGGTGGAATCTCCTTTCCTGTAGTTTGAAGCCATTGTTCTGCATCCTAGTCTCCAGGGCCAAAGAATTAAGCTTGCTCTCTCCTCCCTTTGACTTCCCCTCACATATTTATACATGGCTGTCATGTCTCCTTTCAGCCTTCTCTTCTGCAGGCTAAATATGCCAAGCTTTTTGGCATATTTGGCATACAAACAATCTACAAACCCACCAAGAAAATCCAACAAATGCTACGTTCAGCAAAGGACAAGAGGGATCCTCTCACCTCTGCAGGCGTCTACCGTATACCATGCAGCTGTGGACAAGTCTACATAGGGACCACCAAACACAGCGCCCAGACACGCATCAAGGAACATGAAAGGCACTGCAGACTACTTCAACCAGAGAAGTCAGCCATAGCAGAGCACCTGATGAACCAGCCGGGACACAGCATATTATTTGAGAACACAGAAATGCTGGACCACACCAACAACCACCATGTCAGACTACACAGAGAAGCCATTGAAATCCACAAGCATGTGGACAATTTCAACAGAAAGGAAGAGACCATGAAAATGAACAAAATCTGGCTACCAGTATTAAAAAACTCTAAAATTACAACAGCAAAACAACAGAGAGGAAACAACCAGGCACAGATTAACACCTCCCAGCAAGAGATTTTCCCAGGCTCAGGCAGGCCTTCAAATGCTAATGAAGGTGATCAGCTAAACATTCACACCTAACTGCAGCAGGGAAGAGCTCCTTGCCCCACCCCAGCCATTCCACAGATATATAAACCCATTGTCCTAATTCCAACAGACCTCACTACCTCTGAGGATGCTTGCCATAGATGCAGGCGAAACGTCAGGAGAAATGCCTCTAGAACATGGCTCCATAGCCCGAAAAAACCCACAAGAACCTTTTTAAGCCTCGCTTCATAGGGCTTGTTCTCCAGACCCTTAATCATTTTACTCGCCCTCCTCTGGACACATTCCATCACCTTTAAGTTGTGGTGCCCAGAATTGGACACAGTATTCCAGGTGTGGTTGGGGTATCATGACTTCCTTGGATCTATACACTATACTCCTATTTATGCAGGCCAAAATCCCATTGGCTTTTTTTAGCTGCCAAAGTCCCATTGGCTTTTTAGCTGCCACATCACATTGTTGGCTCATGTTTAACTTGTCGCCCATGAGGACTCTCAAGGTCTGTTTCACATGTACTGCTGTCGAGCCAGGCGCCCCCCATTCTGTATCTTTGCATTTCATTTTTTCTGCCTAAGTGGTGTATCTTGCATTTGTCCCTGTTGAACTTCATTTTGTTAGTTTTGGCGCATCTCTCTAATGTGTTAAAAACACTTTGAATTCTGCTCTTGTCATCTGGAGTGTTGGCTCCCAATTTGGCATTGTCTGCAAACTTGATGATCATGCCTTCTAGCCCATCATCTCATTGATAAAGAAGTGTCCGTATGCCATAGATCAGTCCCATGCAACCGAGATTTCAACTGGGTCAGAAGCACAAAATATGAAGTGAAAACACAAGTATTGCAGTAACCAAGCCGTTGGGTCCTAGAACAGACTTGTCAGGTTCATAGAAAACGCAGAAGTCATGTTTCAGTGTTGAGACAGGCTAGATCCTGTCTCTCTTCATGACCAATGTGTTCTTTAAAAACAGGGGTGAGCCACATGTCCTCTCCAGCTTTTATGCCCCACCACTGCATTTTTGTCCAGCAAGAAATGTTAAAAAAGTCCACAGAGGGTAAAATCAAATAACCTGTTGGCATTAAATTATAATTCATTTATTCAATTGTTTGATTATTTAGTTATTTAATTAATTTTATATGTGATGAAAAAAGCCTTTTCAGTATTAGTGCTGATGAAAAAAACCTCTTTTCAGTATTATTGCTATTTTTAATGTATTTTGGGATGCTGAATTCAGTAAGTCCTGCCACATATACAATTCTTTCAAAAATTTTGATATTTTACTCATTTAAGTTGTTACTCAGTTTTGATTAAGTGCAGACATTTCTGTTTCTGTGTGCTTTCTTTCAGTGTTTTTGAACAGATTTTTGTGTTTCCCATCAATTAATTCAAAGTGTTTTGAAAGTCTGTTAAAACACTTTAACCCCTTATTGCTTTATCTTTACTCTTCAAAAGAACCTTTGTGTTATATTACGTTAAATGGCAGGAATGTGAATGCAGTCATGCTTAACCATCAGCTCGAACATCACAAACATCTTTTTTTGGCATCTGTGGAGGTTCCAGAACTGAACCTCTGTGGATTTGGTGGGCCTACTGTACCTTTACAAGGGGCTTATGAGTTTAATGAAGGAGATACTGCTTTGTCTCTTGGATTTGTGATACTATTTCTAGGCTACCCAATTCAGTAAAAACTGATTCCAAAATTCTTATATGTGTCAAGTATTCTATATTCTGGCATTAAAAAATCATGAATCAAAAGGGTTACTGGATCAGATATGCACATCCTCTCTTTCTCTCCCATTCTCATTAATTTTACCCCTACAGGTTTCAGTTTCTAATCATTGTACTCATTAAACCAAGGAAATTTAATTTAGTTTCAATACTTTTGCTGTATCGAGATTATTTTATTGTGTGTGTGTGTGCATAATGTTCTGGAAATGAATATGCTTTTTGTATCATTACTAATTTTATGAGCTAAGAGCAAAAGTTTTAGATATAGTTTCATTACATCAGGACAATAGAATTTTCAGAAATGGCTATAATGTTGGGTATGGTCCACTCAAAGGGAACTCTGTTGAACTCAATGGGGCAGTGTTAAGGTCATAACTATTTCACTGGGATTGGTAAAATGTAAACATACTAAGCTACCAGCTGCATTGTGCTCAGTACTTATGAGATTTTTAATATGTCAAAGTAATGGACAAAATTTGAATTAGGGAATTAATTTATTTAGTTATTTGCAGAATTTATATACCACTTTTCTCACCCCTGGGGGGATTAAAAGAGGTTTACACAGAAATGTACACCAAATTACAGTCAACACCATGACAAAGTAAAAAATCAATGGGACAATTCATCATAAGATACAATAAGAGACATTTAAACATGAAAGATAAGAATTAAAACACCTAATAAAAACTTCAGAAAATAGTAATTGTTCTGTTCCCACACTTAACTACTTGTATGAAAATAAATGTTTGTATTTAAATGCTGCTGAAATCAAGCTGGGATAATTAAGTCTGAATCCAGTTCCTAATTCCCAATTAGAAACTGAATTGGGGAGAGCTTTTACTGAATTCACGAAATCCGCAGTCATATAAATCCCATTGATGTAGTGATATCACTTTAACTGGGATGAACAGTTGGATTTAGGGTACAATCTTTGCAGTACTTTGGAACATTTCCTTCATCATTTCCTCTGAATGAGGAAGCTCTCTGCAGATGAGTTCACTATTACAACTTGAGATGTAGTTTCGGTAGGAAATTGTTTCTTGAGCCCCTTCTGCACAGTCATTTAACCCAGAATATCAAGGCAGAAAATCCCTCAATATCTGCTTTCAACTGTGTTATCCGAGTCCACACTGCCATATATTCCAGTTCAAAGCAGATAATGTGCGATTTTTTTTCAGCTATGTGGAAGGGGCCTAGGTAAGTGAACAGACACACACCAACCATATGTGTTAACCAATATTTTTTTTCTAAATGCTTGAAACACTGTATTTCAAGCAATGGTGTTGTTGAGGCCAAAGGATTGGAATGAGAGAAGAAGCTGGAGGCAGCATGTCAGCTGCTGTGAGGAATGTTCCTGACAGCAGAGGGCAATCCACAGGGTAAACCAGAAATACATCTCAAAGTGCCTGGTAGATAGCTGCTTTATTATAGAAAAAGTTCAGTGCATTTCAGACTATAAGCATTTTGGTAGCCTTCTTCAGGGGATTCATACACAAATAAATTTTAATCTGAAAGGACAACACATAATTGGATGATAAAACTAAGCAGATGACATTATACTATTAGAAATCCTGGTTCCAACCACACAAAGTTCTCTAGTATCTTGTCATCAGATGTCTACTGCTTGTCAGCATGGAGGAGGGTGTCAAACTGCAATTTCACTTGGAGGAATAAAATGTCTTGAAGTGACCATGCTATTTAGAGAAGATCTTTTTGAAAGTGCTTCTGTCATCTGAAGTTCAATAGCTTAGAACAGGGGGAGTGGACCTCTGAACCTCAGAGCTGAACTATTCTTTAGTGAGACTACATAGATGCATTCAGTTCCTTCCAGCATTTTGTATTTGCTTCTTTGATGGCAGAACACAGCCACCCCTATTGCTACCAAATGAAAAAAAAGTGTCCTTAAAAATATTGAAACTGGAACTATTAGTATTGAAACTTGAGCTTTTTTTCTGGTGTCGAAATAGTTGTGTGACCAAGCAAGGTACAGCATTGTTTTTTATCAACAATTCTATTTTAAAGTTGCAATGCACATAAAAAACCTTTGCCAAAACCCAGTAACTATTACAAATATTGACATTAATTCCCATCTCTCTAAAAGGTCATTGAAGAATATTTTTACTGATATTGTATTCATGGTTGAGTGCACCGAGAATGTGACCATGGAATTTTTCAATGACATGCTGGGGTATGAAGAATATTTTCACATGTTGTCACATACTCTGAAGGATCCAAAATATATCAACTTTGTTTTTGGCACAGATGAGTAATGTAACGACAGAATATTGTTTGGACATCATGAGAAAATTTGAAGTTTCGGAAGAAAACAAGAACCAAAATGTTCTGGGCATAGAAGGTAACACCCTTCAGACTTTCCTTTACTTTCTGTTTACTTAGATTCCATTTTAGTTTGCAACCACATCAGTAATTTTTTATTGTTTTCTTTGGACAGACTTAATAAATGTAAGAACGAGAGTGAGATCAAACAGATTGCAATTTAGTGAGAATAAGAGGAAGGCAGTAACATACTCTGATTTGTGGAATAACATACTCTGATTCCTTTGTCAGTTTAAATTTATTGTTAGTTCTATTGACATTACAGATATAATTGGCATCAACAAAAAGACAGACAAAACAGTGATGATTCGCAGTTAGGAATTGTGCGAGTTGAAGTCCAAAACACCTGGAGGGCTGAAGTTTGCCCATGCCTGGTCTAAGGTTTGGAGGAAAGATACTTGCTTTGGCCCAGTTTGGTGGTAGCATTCCTTTGGTCAGTTTATGTCTAGCCTCTTATCGGCCCTCCCCCTAAAACAAATAAGCCCCAATGCATTTCATCACATGGAATGGGATCCGTTTCTTCTCATCACCATTTCAGGGAGCAAAAAGTATTTGCTCCTTTTGACCAGTCCTAGTCCAAGATACTTTGCTACTTACGGTGGGACAGATAGCAAAGGGTGATCATACTTAATTGAATCAAATCATACAGATGAGAGCCTGCCAAGTTATTTTGGCTCATCAGACACAACATCCCCAAAGTGCCAACCCCCGTTTTCTGACAATAAAAATATAATAAAAATGAACTTAATCACTATTTAGTGCTCTTTTATGACACTCGGTATTTGCTGCCTGTAGTGGCCTTTTCATTCTCTCTTAACACAGAACTTGCTTTTCACTGTGATATCTGGTACAGTGATTTAATGCCCCATTTCCCTAGGGTCTATGCATATGCAGATTTCCACCTGTGCCTCTCCCATCTGGTTGAGAAATTTCTCATATGTAAGTAAGTGCTGTACACACAGTTGACCTCCCCACTTCAAAGCCTGGAACTGTAAAACTAAAATTCTGCTAAATCTGTTGTTTAAGGCAGCACCTGATTTCTTTCTTCTCTTTCCTGCTTTGGCCTGAGTTTCTATGTAGAATTCACATGTTTCCAATGGATAAAAAGATTGCAGTTTCAGACATAGTCATTCAGTATGAAAACTAATTTTCAGAAATGTTGTTGAATGAAATTTGATAACAATTATGTTTTATCTGTTTGCTAGTAGAATGAGTTTGTTACTTGGAACTGGAACATGAACTGTTTTGCTTAACCCATAGTAATCAGTACAGGGAAGCTCTTTCCATGCAGAAAGGGGATTTCCCCCTAATCACAGATGCCTTCTTCTCTGCCTGGTGGAAACAATTAAAAAACCAAGCTTAATAAACATGCTTTGTGGTTCTGGGACCTTCATAGCACTACATTATAACTTGGCTATTACTGAAGTGTACTTTTATGGTCCTACTTGAATTTCTCTCCTTTTCTGCTAATGTTCTTTTTTGTAAAATATCTACTTAAAGCTCTATTTGCCTATTGACATTCTGTCTGGTCTTGGTGTCAGTAGGGAAACTCTGGTACTTGATATGCATTAAAATCAGCTGTGTCCCTAATTTCATACATCATTGACTGGACTTTACCTTGCTGATGAGAAAAATTACAGTTTGAGATTAAGAAGAACCAGTGCAAGGAATGTTTTGCAAAAGTGTTTATTTCTCTTAGCTTTCCTTTTGTGCATTTATTACCTTCTGCCTCAATTTTCCCATTACTGGTGCCTTCCAGATGTGTTGGACTACAACTTCTACTTTCTGTGCAAGGGCAGTTGTCCTCAGATTTATCCAAAAGTATGAAGTTAGCATATGCTGCTGTTTCATTTTGATATTTTAATTATGGAAGCTTTCTGGATTGAGAATATTGCTTTGGTCTCAATCAGTTTTATGGCATTTTAAAAATGGGTACATACAGCCATCTTGCTATTAAAGGTATCACTGTATATTGTGGTTGAATGGGCAACCCTAACGTGCTTGTCGCTTTATGTATATAGGGCTGCCACCCCCCATTGAAGTAAATTAAGCAGCCCATAAACAAAGTGGCTGAACACCGAGAACACATGGTTCCATAAGAGCAGGACTATTATATTTTCCAAATCCTCTGAAAAGCTTCTCCTTGGTTCCTATTAAGTGAAAGTCTTGCAAGTGAAACAGGAACACAAACTGTCCCTGTGGTGGCTAACTTTTTCAAGACCGAGTGCCCAAATCATACTCCAAAACCAGCTATAAGGCGGGCTGGCAAGGGATGAGGGAAATGGCGTGCCCTTTCTGGCACACATGCCATATGTTCACCACCACTGCTGTGGGGAATCTTGAATGTCACTTTAAATTTGCTGTCATCTGTGACTTCAAGTCATGTCTGATTTATGGCAATTCTCAGGTGAACCTGTCAGAAGGTTTTCTTGGAAAGATGTGTTAAAATTACCTAGGGTCTAATCACTGCCCAGGTGAAAGGAACTTTTTGGCTTAAAAGAAATTTGGGAATGTTTCCTGTCCCTTGGTCCCATTTCTTGGTTAGAATGAAAGTGATTAGTAACTTGCCATTGTTTATGAATATGCATGAATAACAACAACAACAACAACAACAACAACACTTTATTTATACCCCGCTGCCACCTCCCCAGGGGACTCGGTGCGGCTTACAAGAGGCCGAGCCCAAAATACAACAATACATGCAATAACAGCAACAATACAAGCAATTTAAAAACAACAAAACAATAAAACAATAACATAAGCATTAACAGTAGGAGAACACACTTTAAAGTCTATGAGTAGGCCAAATGTAATTAAAAATTTAAAAAATAATGCTGGACATGGGCGAAAAAGTGGTGGGGCGTTTGTGGAAACATACTAGCAGACCTAAACAATATAAAGTGCTTTGGAGGACAAAGTGCTATGGGATCATTATTCTGGGAAGGCACGCTGAAACAACCACATCTTCAAGCTCCTCCTAAAGACTGCCAGAGTTGGGGCATGCCTGATGTCCTTAGGAAGTGAGTTCCAGAGTCGAGGGGCCACCACCAAAAAGGCCCCCTCTCTCGTCCCCACCAATTGCGCTTGCAATGCAGGTGGGAGTGTGAGCAGGGCCTCTCCAGATGATTGAAGAGATTGTGTGGGTTCGTATACAGAGATGCGGTCACGAAGGTAGGCGGGTCCCAAACCGTTCAGGGCATGAAGCAAAGGAACAGGTAGACTTGTGAGCCAGTGGTTTAATAACAAGGCAAAGTTTAATGAAAATTCAGAGTAGGGATCTGGTTTTGGTGGTGGAATAATATCTTTTTGTCAGTGGGCTAAATTTAATTGTTAATTGTAAAGAGAGTTTCACCATTGAACCTGTAAAAGTCATGTAAAAGTCAACTTGTCAAACTCCTGTTGACCCAGTACTTTTGTTTGGACTGACAATTGGATTAAGCTCACCATTGTTGCATATGTATATAAAATATCTGATTTTACAGTTAGGACATGTTTATACTATAAGCTTATCTTTCTTTTAAAGGCTTTACAAACTTTATGCGCAGTCCTGCCTGTGATGTGTTCAATGCATTACACAGTGAGGTACACCAAGATATGGACCAGCCCCTCTGCAATTATTTCATTGCCTCTTCCCACAACACGTACCTAACTGGAGACCAACTTCTCTCTCAGTCTAAAGTTGAGATGTATGCTCGAGTTCTACAAGATGGCTGTCGATGTCTTGAAGGTATCCTTTTTATTATTTTTATTGGATTTGATGTTGTTGGCACTGAAAACAAACGTTAATGCCTCCAAACAAAGATCACCCCCTTCCCATCTATTGCATGGGGACCATTTAATGCAACTTTCTCTGTGGCAAGCTTTTTTTAAAATGATATTCTTATTACTGGTGTTCTTGTTATAGTTGCTTGTATTGCACACAACAAAGTGCCTTCTAATTAGGAACAGCAACACGAGAAAAAGGAAACAGGAATCCTATCTGAAATTGATAATAATTTCATAAACTTGTTTGGACACACTGTCATTTAAGAAAAGAAAGAAAAAAACTATGTTGAAGCTGATGCAACAAAACTTTGCAGTTATTAAGTGCTCTATGATTCTGTGCTCAGTTGCCATCTAGAATATTTAATTTCTTTGATTTGCATTTTCAAAGTTGCAATATATCAGTATTATGTTCCTTTGTGTTGTTGTTGTCATCGTCATCATTATTTATACCCCAATTAATCCCCTCAAAGGGGACACAAAACATCTTGACATAACAGTATTAGTATAAAGGTAAAGGTTTTCCCGACATTAAGTCTAGTCGTGTCCGACTCTGAGGGGTGGTGCTCATCTCCATTTCTAAGCTGAAGAGCTGGCATTGTCGGTAGATGCCTCCAAGGTCATGTGGCTGGCATGACTGCATGGAGCACTGTTACCTTCCCACAGAAGCAGTACCTATTGATCTACACACATTTGCATGCTTTTGAACTGCTAGGTTGGCAGATGCTGGGGCTAAAAGTGGGAAATCACCCCGCTCTCTGGATTTGAACTGCTAACCTTGAACTGCAAGGTCAGCACCTCAGTGGTTTAACATGCTGTGCCACCAGGGTACAAGTTAAAATACCCAGAAATGCAAACATTAAAATAGAATTAAACACAAACAGCATTAAACATTCACAGTCAAAATCCATCAAAACAGTTGTAAGTACACATAAGAGACTTCCTTAGAGTATCCTAATCGAAATCAATTTTGGAATCCATTCAGGGGCATCTGATAAATTCAGTTAGTTCTTGAGAGTGTTGAATTAATCATAAGAGGCAAGTTGAATCAATATTCAGTCAGGTGAAATGTGCCAGGCACCTGAAAATTTTGTACAACTAACTATTTTTATTAGCTTCTGAAGAGGAATAATGCCATACATAGGATGAAATTGGATGTGATGGTCAAGTGTCATTAGCGATGACATTGCTTTGAAAATGTAATTAATGTAAGGATTTCTGGTTTCCAGTATTTGCAATGGGGAATTTGGAACTTTCTTTCATCTCACACAACTGTTACCCTGCTGATGGCCCCTGCGGGGAAATTCAGACTAGTCTAGTTTAGTCAACAGACTTTGCATACCATTTTAAAAAAATTACAAAATCAAATTATCTCACAATTTACCATGCGGATCACAGCATATGTATTCAAGTTTGTCCAGAATATTCTCATAGACAAAGCTGCAGGTGTTTCAGGAAATTGGTAATTTGAATATGAGTAGTAAAAGTTACAGAATGACATGTTGACCTTTTGTGAGTAAACAAAACATTCTCATTCATTTCATTGAGCTTATCTTTCTACATGTTCTATGGAAAATAATGCGGAAGCTCCATGTTGATGCAGAAGCATCATGTATTTAATCAAGTCAGTTTAAGTCATTGCCTCAGAGTGTGGTGGAGCTCCTCCTTTGGAGGCTTTTAAACAAAGGCTGGTTGGACATCTGTCAGGGGAACTTTGATTGTGCATTTCCTGCATGATGGGGGGTTGGACTAGATGGCTCATGTGGCTTCTTCCCATTCTATGATTCTAAGACAGGTGTGGGGAATATTTTCTTTTTGTGTTTAGAGCTGTGTTCACTTGGTAGTCATCTGTTGGGGCCACATGTTGACTGTGCTCATGACAAGGCCAGAGCATCAGTGTAGTGGGGATTTCTCCCTCTCTTTTTAACACCTTCCCCACTTTCACCTTATTTCTTTGTCTCTCTTCCCTTCTTCCTATGAGTCCAGCTTACTTCTAGAAAGGCTATCTCTTATTGTTTAAAAGGCATTTTTTGATATTAGGCAGAGGGTCACAGGTTGACTTCCTTCCATTAAGAAATCGGTTAATTGGGACCATGTAGAATTCTCAGGAGTATGCTCTAATTACATGAGACATGAAGTACAGAGCTAATTATCCATTGCTAATGGGACAATGTTTTTATTAGGAGATGCAAATGATGTATGCTTTTGGTATTCTTGTTATGGTTTTATATTATGTGTTAATGTTTTTAAATGTTTTATAGTGTTTTGGGGCATCACTGTCATGGTTTTTAATTGATGTGTTAATGCTTTTTAATGTTTTCATGTTTTTATGATGTTTTATTTTATTTATCGTGTTATCCGCAACCAGAACATTGTATTACATTTCATTTTATGATGTTGTTAGCATTGAATTGTTGCCTTGTGAATCGCCTCGAGTTGCCTACAGGCTGAGAGGGGCTGTATACAAATGTAGCAAATAAATAAATAAATTGTTGCCATTGTAAATGGCCCTGAGTTCCCTGAGGGATGAGAAGGGTGGTATACAAATATAGTAAATAAATAAATAAATAAATAAATAAATGGGACTTGAAGGGCAAGGCATTTTAAGAAGCATGAAGGCAGCAGTTGGCTGTTTTGGAGTGTTTTTGTGCGATTCATATCCCCTCATGGCCCCTCATATGTCTGTCCAAGGAACCAGTTGTGTGCATGTATACATATAAAATCTTCTTTCTTAACATATATATCTCCAAATCGTCATGATACGAGTGAAGTGCTAGTTAATGTTTTTACTAAAACATCTGCCATGGTTTTCTTGCCAGGAATACTCCTGCTGATTATGCTTGATGATAATAATAGCATGACAGTCAGCTTTAATCATTTGCCAGCATGAGCTTGGTAGACTATGAAGGATGAGATATGATGCGTGCAATAAGAGAATATCTATTTGCTGATCAGGATTTGCATGTGCTGGAGTATATTCTTGGAACATCTCTCCTGCAACCATCACATACTTTCCATCAAAAAGGACAATCTATTCCTTGAAGAAATATTTGTGTAATATTTGATTTTCCTGTTTTATTAGTTGACTGCTGGGATGGCCCAGACGGAGAGCCAGTCGTGCATCATGGTTATACCCTTACTTCCAAAATACTTTTTAAAGATGTATTAGAAGTGATCAACAAAAATGCTTTTGTTAAAAATGAGTAAGTATACCAGAAACCAAACAGTAATAGAACATGTTTACCAGCACTATATGCAGTTTCTAAAAAGAGAAAATCAAGCCAATTTCTTCCAATTACCAGAGCTTGAAAATGTTACCTTTTGGACTATATCTGTCAGAATCCCAAGCTACTATGTCCATGGCTCTGCTGGTTAGGGTCTTCCAGGATTTGGAGTGCGAAAAGTAAGATTGTGAAGCTCTTTATACTGTCCTGCGTGCTTTACTGGCATGCTTTTAAATGCTTTCTTTTCCTTATTTCAAGGCTCACTATTTTTACTCATAAGAGGATTTGTTTGAGTACAATTGGATTTACTTTCCACAAAGTATCTTTAAAATTGCAGCCATAGGACAGCATTCAGAAGAAGTTAGGCAACTTGGATTTTGCTGAAATCTGTTTTTATTCCATTTATGTTGAAGTGTTCACAGGTTTGCAGCCACAGGAGTGTATGGCATTAACCATCCATTTATATAGGATCATATTTTCTTTGCTCCATTTTTAAGTCTTGAGAGTGAGTGGCAATAACAATCTACTTGTAGTAAAAAGGATTTCCCTGGTCTCTTCATCAGCTGCCTCCTTTTACAGCATGACTGCCTCTATGAGAAAGCCAACTGACACTGCATTTGATATCTTCAGATTGTGTCACTTGGTAGATTTTTACCCTATTCCTCATGGCAGCCGAATATAGGAAGCAGGAAACAGTATGGTTATTATGGAACTGTGAGGTTCATTCTGATCCTTCTGAGAAATGTATGAGAAAAAGTCAGTCTCCCTCCCCCTGGAAATTCAGGACAAGTAAACAGATCCTTTTCTATCCTCTAATCAGAGCAAGGGAGATAGTCATCTAAGTTTCCTCTGAGAAGGTGCTGATCTCCATAATTTTGTGTACCGAAGCCAACTGGCATTTTTGTATCGCGCTTCAGTGCTATGAGCAGTAGAACATCTTTCACCATCACATTTTACCACCATTGGCAACTCTTCTGCCTAATGATATAGAAGAGACCTGGTTGGTCATAGGAGAGCATCAATGACTTTCGGAAGGAAAATTAAGAGAACACTTGGAGCTAATTTCCTTTATCCACTTCTGTTTTTCATTATTAAGCAGATTATTAAAATGTGCTTCATTGATCTAATATCCTATTTTCATACCTACCGGTGAGGCTGGTCCAGAGGAGGAAATGAAATTATTGATGGCAACTGTTCAAAAATGAAAATGGCCATTAAAGAATGAAGAAACAAAGTTGTAAAATCAGCATGCACAAACATGGTGCTTTGTGTTGCTATCGGTATAAGATAATTCATCAAGACCTTGGAGATTTTCATATTCCTATTTTCCTTTTCTTGTAGGTTTCCAATTATACTATCTATTGAAAACCACTGCAGTATTCAACAGCAAAAGAAAATTGCTCAGTACCTCAAGGAGATTTTCAGTGACAAGCTGGACTTGACTTCTGTGAATGCTGGGGATTCTAAACAGCTTCCAAGTCCACAAAGTTTGAAAGGCAAAATCCTAATAAAGGTAAGTGGCTATTTGGTTTGGTGCCAAATTGTTGTTTTTACCTAAACCCTGATTTGTCTGTCCATGGCTGTGCTGAGGTGTCAGATACATCTTTAGATCTGTATCTATAAACTCTAGAAAGTTAAAAGACACAATGAGATATTTGGAATCAGATATACATGTCCTGTCAGTCTGGATTCGAAAGTCCCACAGTATTTTTGCGTGTTCATTTTTTACCACTTTTGCAGGTTTATGATCCCACCAATTCTTTAATGATGGCTGGTGGTACTTGTGACATAAGTTTCAGTGAATCATCTGGGCCACAGAGTTGTGCCTCTGTTTGTAGTCCATCTGCAACAGGGAGGATATGATCCATGGTTTCATCAGCTTCCTTGCACAGTCTGCATTTTGAATCATCAGCTGATTTTTCAATCCTGGCCTTAATTGCATTGGTTCTGATGGTTTGCTCCTGGACTGCAAGAATCAGA